GTCTTAAACAAAAACTATCAATAACTTTTTTCTTTTTCCTTTGGGAGAACATTCTAGTTGGTAAGTTTATTACCTTTCAAAATGTGCTTGGCACCTACCTTTCGTAACACAGACCTATTGTGCACATCTTTAAATTATTTCAGCTGGCAGAAAAGAATTACATTTTAAACTGAAATCAAGGCCTCATGCAAAGATTATCCTGGCCCTTTTCTAAGCTCATAAAAGTGAATTGAATATAATTAGTAAAAATAGACAATGAATAAATAACACTTTATAGTAAGAAAACAGTATATTCTGCCCATCTAAAAAGAGAGTATTATAACTGATTTTATGAATTGTAATTTAAACTTTAATTTTGAACTGTATTAATGTGTATATTGAACCTTCTAAATCGAAGCCGTTATTCTCAATTAAGTACTGCAACTATGACAAGGCTTGACCTACATTTTTGAAATAAAAATTAACATGTTTTGGATAAATAAACTATAATTTTACGAGAAATTACTGCCTAAATGTGTATTAGCAGTATTTTTTAAGGTAAATTGCCATGATATCTAATGAACGTGTAGACAGAGAAAATGAAGGAGTGCCAGACTAGTTAGAATTTAGGATTAGGTTAGTTTTGAAAAATGACGTGATATATGGGTTTTAACACATCCTACCGTGAAAACTGGAGGAGATAGGTGTGACCTGGTTAATTTGGGATGATGGACATTTTGCACTAATATTGACAGAATACGTCTTGGGACTAGTATACATGTGACATGGATTGCTAGGAGGAACAAAAAGCTAAACTGTATTGTTTATATTCCATAAACCATTTTATAATGTTCAAAGATTAGGCTTCATTATTGATAGTATTAAATACACAGTTTCTCTTAACAGTGATGGGTCAGAACATTTTTCTGGATTATGGGACGTTTACCAGAACACGTTTTGATTCTTGAATGTACATAATAATGCCATCTAACTTATTTACTTTCTTGTTTACATGTGGGGGCTTTCGTTTTTAAAAATTATTTTGTTAAAAAATCTCAATAAAAATGTATTATTGTTGTCCTTTTCTTCCTTATCTTTTTTTACCCTTTTTGGCTGCTGCTAAAATTAAAAATTGGATGCATATTTGGTAATTTTTCAAAAGAATGATCTTTAGTATTTTATCATTTTCCTGGAAGAACAATTAGATAAACTCTGCTGCTTACGTTTAAAACAAAAAACAAACACTCTCTTTTTAGGAAATAATTGATACAAGACTGATGTTTGTGAATGTGATAAGCCTAAGAATTGATGGTTTCACATTAATAATTTTTTCCCAATATTTTCAGGAATTAAGCATTTTTAAGTTTTATTTTTAAACTTATAAGTCCTAGTGATTTATTTCATTTCAGTCAAACATGGATACCACAGAAGAATTGGAATATAAAAGACAGAGTGGTCATTCTGATTGGCTACATCTATGTAGTGTTCTGGTGGTCGTTTTCACAATCACTGCCACTGTAAATTTGTAATGTTACCCTATCCTTTGCTAAAAAGAAAAGAGTTCCTTTTGAGACTTTAAAGAATAGGAAATAAGGATTCTTATAGATTGGCCTTAATGAAAATACTGGTTTTTTTAAACCTGCTTTTTCTAACGTCCTTAGGCACAAAAAAGAATTTAACATTTGTAATCCAACAAGAGGTAGCCATAGAAAGAATAGAAGAATATCTCTATTACTGAAAAGGGTATAGCCCAAAGCCACATTGTGTTACCAAATGAAGTTATTTATGGGGGAAATTTAGAGTACCGGAGAAGTAGAATATGATACAAAAATGTCAATACTAATGATAACACCTGTTATTAGAAAATATAAAATGACCACCTGTCAGATGATTGTGTTATACATACTGTACTATGGGCTCTCAGGGGAGTATCTGATTATCGCAAGAGCTAATGGAAAAGGGCTCAAGACTGTGACCCTGTGGACCAGAGAGGAATTTGTCAGCCTATGGGCTGTATATATATAAAACATATGGTGATGTATATTTTACTATTTGCATTTGAATACCTTTAGATAAAACCTGGTACTCTCTCTGGGCAAAATGTGCATTTCCTACCATCCTGGTTGCCATACTTCTCACCTGATCTCTGTGGGCCTAATTTAAATATGTACTCTTATTTTAAACACTCCTATGTGAAAACAGGAGTTTTAACATGTTAAACAGACCAGGGTTTCCTGGTTTGAGACCTATGATGACTTGTCCCTTTGATGCCATTACTGTGCATAAAAAGGTTTTGGCAGGTTCAGAAACGCAGACCACCTTTCCAATTTCCGCTCTGTAGAAGCTGAGGATTCAAAACCATCCTAAAGGTACTTCTTTTAGGATTCAACTGGATTGATGTTGCCTAAAGGAAGCCTGAAGATTATGAAGCTGGATTTCAGGTGCCCTACTGTTGGAAAACCACATTCCCCCAACAACTTGAAAATACACACCCCAGCCATCCCCAAACACTGAAAATACTAATTTGACTAGGCAGATCCTTACCACCATTAGAAATGGAAAGGTAAACTATGAATGAGTTGACCAGCCAACTTTACTAGGTAAAGTTGAATGTATTGAACTAGTAGAAGTGACGAGCATCTTTCTTCCATTTTAATGGACAACTCTACTGAACTCCTGAAGACTTAAAGAGCTCACAAATGCGTAAGAAGGAAAAACTGTATGGCTCAAGTCAGACTTTGCCGTTTATTCCCCAAAGTATGAACATATCAGTCTACATAGTAAATTACATGTCATTTGCTTAATTGACGTTTAGGATTCTAAATGACATTAACCATTTTCTGTTGTATTAAAGATTAATCAAAATCTATTAAAGTATTATTTTAAGGTAGTCAGAAAGTCTCATAATTAATAAAAATGAATTAATAGTAAATACCAGTATTTGCTATTTACAACTAACTTATAAGTGAGTGTATTAGTCCATTCTCACAGTGTTATAAGGAAATATCTCAGACTAGGTAATTTATAAAGAAGAGGTTTTATTGACTCACTGCTCCACATAGCTGGGGAGGAGGCCTCAGGAAGCTTACAGTCATGGTGGGAGGTGTCTTTTCTCAGGGTGGCAGGAGAGAGAATGAGAGTCCAGCAAACGGGAAAGACCCTTGTTAAACTATAGGATCTCACTATCAGTTCTCACAATAGTAACTTGAGAACCAAGTCACTATAAGGGAAACTGCCCCTAAGATTCAATTATCTCCACCTGGTCTTTCCCACCACATGTGGGGATTATGGGAACTACAATTCAAGATGAGGTTTGGGTGGGGCCACAGCCAAATCATATGAGTGAGCAAAGAATTGCTATTTCACTGGGCACAGTGGTTCATGCCTGTAATTCCAATACTCTGGGAGGGTGAGGAGGGAGGATCACTTAAGTCTATGAGTTCGAGATTAGGCAGGGCAACATAAAGAGACCCTGTCTCTACAAAAAATTTTGAATATAACCAGGCATGATGGTGTGGCACCTGTAGTTCCAGCTACTCAGGAGGCTGAGGTTGCAGTGAGCCATAGTCATGCCACTGTACTCCAGCCTGGGTGACAGAGTGAGATTCTGCCTCAATAGTAATAATAATTCACTATTTCAATAGTATTAACTCAAAATAATTTCTTTTAGGAAAAAACTATTGGTACCCAATACTGATTGTGTCTAAATTTGAAAAGAATGACCTTATGGATAGATGTTTGAAAACACTAATTATGATCTAGACATATGATGATCTAAGCATATAGATATGCACATTTTTGCTACATAAAAAGTAAACATTACCAGATGATTTATATTTAAAATGTGAAAAAATGACTAATGTAGATTTATATTACATTATTTTATTTCTATTTGCAAGTTCCAAAGTGCATATATACATATGCATTTATGTATACATGATCTGGCTTTTAGCAAACTAAAGAATCCCTTCCCCAATTAACGTGTTTTAAGTAGGCGAAGAAATATTGAGTTATCCAGAGAAGAAACTTGAATCCCTGTGTGGCTGAATAATTGGAATTTACTCTTAAATAAGAATGTTGTATTTATACTTTTTGATGCTAAACATGTGCTTAAACATGGATGATTAGGCCACCGAAACCTGTTTTGTTAGTTAAATGTCTGTCTTTGTTAGTAGTATATCAAATTTTTACCCATCCAATTGATGGTGATTATGTATATACATACATATATGATCTATGTAGATTATGACCTGTAAAAATGCTAGGTCTTTAATAATATCATAAAAAGAGACTCGATAGGATAATTTATTTAGTAAGCATTCTAAATCAACAATAAAAATTGTTCCAATTGTTACGACTTTTGTTATATGAGTTAGAGAAACGTTGCCAGCAGATTTACATTCGAAATGCAAGAAGTCACTATTAAGATGATATCCCACTATAGTTTGCTTCTCCTAGCATGTGTCAAGGAAATGCATGCTTATATTGTAAATAAATATGTCCTTTCCAATACAGTTCTTAGAATTAAAATCTCAATATGTAAAACTTTTTACAAATAGTGAATCAGATTCTAATCCATTATACCAAAAGTGATCATGGCTTATCATAGAAACCTGGATGATTTTCTAGAATGTGAGATTGCAAAAACATTATAATTTAAAATTAGGTGACACCATTCACATTTGTAGCATTGTTAACAGTACACTCCTTCATTTAACAAAGATTGTGTGCCTAATATGAGCAAGAATTTCCCAAGCCCTGGAGAAATGACAGCAAACAAGCCAGATATCTTCCCATCCTGTGGCAGCTTACAGGCTGATGGTTTGGGGCTTAAGAATCCATAAAACATTATTTTCTACAGCTACACATCAAAAAGCTGATATTTAGGAAGAATAAAAAGATCGTAAATTAACATTTCTACAAATCTCTTTTGAAACAGTTCTATCGGCTATATGCCCTAAATTTTAGCTTCAAGTGTGTCAATTCTGATTAAGGTTTATTCTGAAATGTAGCAATAAAAGTATGACACCTCCAGCTCTAAGTTCAAAACTTCTAGTTCAGACAAACTAGTAGAGTTGGCAGTAAGCAGAACATTGGATATTTCTTGCAATGTGCTTTAAATGTTCATTATGGACTTAAATATTAAAAAGCTAATAAGTTTGGAAAAGGAACCTATAAACCCATACATACACTGATATATCCATGTGTGTGTGTGTGTGAGAGAGAGAGAGAGAGAGATCGTTTTATTCCTGTTAATATATTTTGCTTAAAGTGTATAATGTAGCTTCCGAGAATAATTATTTAAGTAAATACCATCAAAATAATTTAAATAGCTGATTTCTTTTTTAAAAAAGTGGAAAAGTAAAGCTTCTGTAAAAGCTATTGTTGTAAAATGATTTTAAGTCAACCAAGTAATTAATTTCTGTTTTCGTTGAGAATGAGAAAGAAGTAAAACAGGAAAAGACTATTACACAATAGAAAATCTTATCTGCACTCAAGATGCTCCTTAGAAATAGAAAATAAGCTCTGATTCAGACTTGTTTTCACCCGTTTTTCTCTCTGCCTCCGGTTGCAAAACCAAACTCTTACTACTTCTTTCTCCAGATTCAGTTCTTCAGCCATCCGCATGATCTCTTGAGAAGAAGGTTTATTTTGTTCTCCAAAGTGTCTCTCCAGAGCATCTTTAGCAGCAATACTGGGGTGGGGTAGAGATAGGAGGTGAAATTATGTTGTTTTTTTAGTGAAGTTTTTGGCAGATTAAAATTAAGTTAGGTTGAATTTCCTAAATATTAAGACGAAAAAGAAATTTTAAAACTCTGAACACACTTGCAAAACACTTTAACAAGGACAAATGTCCAATTTGCTAATTACGTAGATGTGTTGTCTTACGCAAGGTAGTTACGCAAGAGAGTCACAGAAAGAAACAAGCAGGTGGACCTATGCTTTCTGTGTTTATTCCACTTTGTGCCACCAGAGGGCACTGAGTTCTTGAAAAGAAAGTGAACATTTTCCCACTTACTTCTAAATCTCTCCCCAAAATCATTTAGGGCTGTGTGCAATAAAGAAAATCTCCACTGAACAACCAATCAAACAAAACAAAACTTGTCTTTTAGCATTTCCTAAGCATGTCTCACAGAAACTACAAAAAGATCAACAAGCAATCTTTTTGGGTTGAAATGCAAGAGTCATGTTGAACTTTAAGAGACTGAAACACTTTCTAGTGTTGTATTTTAAATACACTTACTAAAATACAACACTTAGTAGTGTTGTATTTTAATACAGATAGATACCATAGATACTACATTGCCACAACCATGAGTTACATCTACAAGGACGGCAGATATGGCCACTCTCTTAGAAATGATTGTTTGCTTTCTGTTTTTATTCAAAATTTCTAGAGCAAAAGTGTTCTTGAATCAATCAATACATAATTTTCCATCAAATGTTAAAAATTATTAGCTCTCCATTTTTCACAATTAAAGTATTAAATTATGATTTTTAAAACCTATCTTGGTTCTTCTGGTTCTTCATTTGACTGTATTCACCTTATATTTATTTGTATTTTTTATCTTTTTATTTTATTTTACTTTATTTTATTTGTTTTTAGATGGAGTCTCGTGCTTGTTGCCCAGGCTAGAGTGCAATGGTGTGATCTCAGCTCACTGCAAACTTTGCATCCCGGGTTCAAGCAATTCTTCTGCCTCAGCCTGAGTACCTGGGATTAGAGTCATCTGCCACCATGCCCGGCTAATTTTTGTATTTTTAGTAGAGAGAGTTTCACCATGTTGGCCAGCCTGGTCTTGAACTCCTGACCTCAGGTGATCCAGCCACCTCGGCCTCCCAAATCACCTTACATTAATATTTATGTTACACCTACATTACAATCAAATGCTCATTTCATTTATAAAATACCAGTTTTGTCCTCTAGAAATTCTTTATATGAAGAATACCTTATAGTTGTTCTTCGTTTTCTTTTCCTTTCATTTGCTCCCACCTTTTCATTGTACAAAGCTATAACGTGGAAAAGAGATAATTACAAACTCCAAGTAGACTTTCTATTAAAAAAAAACTCTCAGATTTGGATTTCAAATTTTCTTGATAAAACAATACAAAATAAAAATGTCAAACATTTTTGTCTTAAATTTTTGCAGTTTAAGTCATTTTCTATTACAGAGCTTAGAGAAAAATGTTAACACAGAAATAAATATTAATCTTGCAAAGACACCTTCTACAGGCAATATCCTCACTTTACATTTGTTGGAATGCTTGCTGTAAATACTCTCAAACCTCTTCTTTATCCAGCCCTGACATTTGTATGAATAGATAATTTTATCTCATTAAGTTGCATATCTAGCAATTGCTTATATTATTTACTTGGAAGACTGGTGTGTGAAAATACTTTGTGTACACTAATATTTGTGATTCATATACAGCTTCTTTAGTATAAAAGAGAGATAAAAAATGTGGATGTGTAAGAAAATATTTTACCACTTCATGCTGATGCCATCTTACCTTGCAAGCTTTCCTTATACAGGTTATTCTTTCCTCAATAAATCTATTTCTATACTTACGTTGCCTTCCTTTTTGGTTGCTGTTTTTAGTGTGATGTAGCAAGATGTTTATTTTTAATCTCAAAGAGAAAAGGAGAACAAAATGCCTCAAACCTCCTGCTTCAGCATTAATCTGCTGATTGAAGCCATTTTTGTTAGGTTAAAACATAGCACAGCCTTCACAGAGACCGTTCAGTACCTCCCACTTGCTCAGCTTCCTCCAGCCATTTGGATAATATTGCTTTCAGTTTGCATGCATTTTTAAAGCTGAGCTGCAGATTTTCAAATCGGCAGATAGTTGTTTGACTGAATTCAGAGCCGTGCACAGCTGCCAGGGCCTCCCCAACATTTGTTTGGGTATATCCTGTGAAGGGACAATAAAGACCATCAGCTCCAACTTTCCAAGAAACGTTAATTTTGGTTCACTGTCACACAGATCTGTGTATCTTTGTCAATATTACATACTGTTTTTTAACTATATATTCTTGGCAAAGTAGAATTATTTAGTAAGGTTCATTGTACTTTGAAGTACTTGTCCAATGCTTCAAAACATATTTCTTCTAGTTAATAAATCACTTTTATCTAATCATCAAAAGAATTCAGATAGAAACCTCTGCCACTCATAATATTTAGGCAGTGTTTAGGTATCTCCTAAACACTTTCTAAGACACTTAAAAATTATGGCTCTTTTTATCATTATTGTTAAATATAAAATAATATATGCTCAAACATCTTTAATATATTAACTATAATGCATCAAATATATGGTTATATATCACACGATTTTTATTTTAACTCTAAAAGATTCAATGACATCTTTGAAGGGTACTAAATACAACTAAGAATTATTCTACTTCCCCTAAAAATATATTTACTAAAAGGTCATGATTACACATTTCAGGTATACCTCTGATTCTGTTTTATAGTTTTTGGTAATGCCTCTATCTTCAGACAAAAGATCCTACTGTTTGTCCCAAACATTTTTAGAGTACAGCTAAAATAATCAACATACAGTTTGAAACATTCACAGCAATATAAATAGAAAACTGAAAATGAATTTCACAAAGATTTCTGCTACTGTGTTTATTACATGCAATAACTACATATTATTTCAAGACCTAAGGCTATATAGCAATATGTAGAAAATGGTTACATATGATACTCATCAATAAATATTATTATTAAATTACCAATGGTTCCTTTTGCAAGTGCAGAGGTTTAAACTATCATTTCAATCCATTAAAAATATACACAACTTTATGCAATTTTACCAAAGTTAATTGTTATAGATGTTTTAAAAACACTTCAATAGAAAAATGAGCAAAGGCTCTGAACAGATAGTTCACAGAAAAGGAAATATAAATGATTGTCAAACACTAAATAATACACTTCGCATTCATAATAAAAGAAACTTCAAATGAAATAACCATGAGATGCCACTTTGACCTGTCTGATTTGCAAAGATCTAAAAGAATAACAGCATATCTTTTCCTTAAACCACCATTTATTTATTTTATGTTCTAGTTATACTCTTCTAGGTGCTAGAGATATCATTAAGGATAAAACACAAAGATAGATTTTTAAAACTCATGCCTTGCTGGAGTTTATATAGTCAGGGGGTGGTGAAAAATATTCTCATGGTGGTAGTAAAATTTGGTACAACGTCTCTGCAGACCCGTTTGACAACTGTTATCAAAATTACCAGTACACATACTTTTGATCAAGCAATTATGCTTCTAACATTTTTCCCACACATATATTTATACGGGTGCAAAACACATTTATAGGGTTAATCATCGTGGCATTGTTTTTAATAGCCAAAGATTGGAAACCACCTGAATTTCATCAATAGAGGACTGGTCAAATAAATTACAGCATATTCATAAAGTGAAACTTGACAGCTCCACAAACGAAAAGGAGCTCTAGAAAAATTGCTACTGAAAACTTCAAATAATACTTACGTTTGACACAATATATATATATATTTGCTTGTGTAGGCATGAGATATCATTGGAAAGATACGGAAGGAACTCACAACAGAAAAAACAAGCAGAAGGGATACATGTCGCTTACATTCTTTTGTACTTTTGAACCATATGAATTTATGGTCTATTCAAAAGTTCAAATAAAATACAGATAAAAATGGACACTTTAAAACTCATCTTGAGGTGGGAAAGGTTTGAAAGAATATTATTAATTTAAAAATTATATATTTAGGCTCTTAAGAAATTATAAGAAAACAAAAGTTTTTGGAGGATATCCATAACAACTCCCTGCAGTAGAGACGAAGAATGAGAATCATCTTAGACTTCTGAGCAACATGCAAGAGATTTAACAGTAATACAGATTTGCAAACAGAGTTATTTCTCCTGTTGCCTTTAACAAGCACATACCTAACTTAATTCTTCTCACTTTAAATTCATTGGCAAACTTTTCAAGTTCTCTGATCTCTGGAGAATCCATGTCTATTGGCTCGTCCACCAATTTACTTTTCCGCCTGAGTTCCTGCTTGAAATCAGCAGCTGTGGGGTCCTCTGCCAGGAGAGGCTGGTGTATAGGAGGAAATCCATGACTCAAGGTGTGATCGGGAAATTTATAGAGACAAGGGGTTAGACTACCTGTGAGTAAACAAAGAAAAAAAATGAAAAAGACCATTTGTAATTCTTTCTTATTTCTGTATAAGGAAGGTTTCTGTCCGATGTGGCCCTTTATTCTGCTCTAGCCAGTCTCAATACTTAAAAGGTTACCTTATATTCAGTCTTCTGAAGTAGAAGTCAAATTAGCTTACTAGAATTAAAATTATTTATCTTCTACCTTCTCCAGAGCAGCAAAAAAACAAAGGTAGGGTTAAAGGAAAGAAGCAGGGGACTGCGAGTAACTAAAATAAAAAGAAACACTTCTTTCAGAGTGTACATTTTCTATCATTTTTTTCTCTTAAATGGCACCGATTCCTGGGAATCTGAGGTTGAACTCTAATCAGAATCTATGTATTGAACTCTGTTTTCTCAATTCATTGAACAAATAATCTGCAGGGTTTGTTGTAATCATGACACTACATGCTTTGGCTAAGTGCTCTGCTGAGAAGTTTTCTTGAAAAATAAGAACAGAAAAATAAAAATGATACAAATAACTCAATACAGTATAATAATGATTTACATAGCATTTACATTGATTTAGATATTGTAAGTAATCTGGAGATGATTTAAAGTAGAGGATGTGCCTAGGTTATAAAGAAATACTACATCATTTTATACCAGAGACTTGAGCATGTAAAGGTTTTGGTATCCTTCAGAGTCCTGGAACCAATATCCCACATATATCTAAGGATGATTGTATAAGAAAGACATTTTTACGTAAAAATATTGAGTGATTAATCATTTTCTTAGAAGTATAAATAAATATTTTAAAATAAATTACTATGGAATACATGCAATAATTATTCTTAGAAACTTACTGAAAAAATGCATCAGGAGTTCATGCTACCTATAATTTCTCCACACATACATTCTCAACTCAGACATGAGTAATAATACATTTTTCCAGAATACATAAATCTTACATTAATATATCAATACATAATGAGCAAAGAAGAGTATAACTCAGCAAATTTTGGTTTCTATTATTTATATAAAAGTATGTAATTATAAAGTGCACCCCGTCTAATAGGATATATTATTTTCTAAAGCAAAGTAAACATACAGATGAGAGATTAAACAAATTAGCATAAAATAAATTTGCCTGCTTTAAAGCTGGGAAAAAGATGTGAAAGAAGCTATTTTTGTCTTTAAAAAATTCCTGCTACTTTTATAAACCAAAATTATCCAGGTTTACTTTTGTAAAAGTCAGTTAACTATCCTTTTTTTTTTTTTTTTTTTGAGACAAGATTCTGATTCTGTCAGCAGGCTCCAGACTGGAGTGCAGTGGCACAATCTCGGCTCACTGCAACCTCTGCCTCCTGGGTTCAAGCAATTCTCCTGCTTCAGCCTCCCAAATAGCTAGGACTACAGGTGCACGCCACCACGCCCTGCTAGTTTTTGTATTTTTAGGAGAGGTGGGATTTCACCATGTGGGCCAGGATGGTCTCGATCTCTTGACCTCGTGATCTGCCCACCTGGGCCTCCCAAAGTGCTGAGGTTACAGGCGTGAGCCACCGGGCCTGGCCAACTATCCATTTTTTTTGCTTTATTGTGTGGCATCTTGGTCAGACCAGGGAACATTTTTAAAAGCAATTTTACCAACTTTTATTATATAGCTTTTCTTCAAAATGTTTATTGTCTTGTGGGTTCATTGTTTGCTTTTTGCTAATTTTAACTTTCTTCTAAATTAAAAGAACTAATAGATGTAAAAAGAAAACTGATGACATTTATTTAATATTTATCTGAAGACTGGTGCTTATGCTTCCAGAATTGATTCTCACATATATTTATAAAACCTTCACTTTTTTCATTATTTAGGTATATCAGGCATCACTTAATAAATTTAATAATAAAATACCCTGAGAAAGAATATAAGGAACATTCAGACTACTGTTAGATTTTTGTGCATTTAACATATTTTAAGCCACTTTGGATAACTCATTTAACCTATGTTAAATTACGTTTATTTTATATAAATTGTGTGTCTTTTAAATAAGCATATCATAAGATCTTAATCTGTTATCAAGTTTGATTATTATTTTCAATTTCTCTTGCTGATCATAATCATGTACTGCTACAAATCTTTTATGCAACACTTTGTGTTAATTTCACATTTGTCATCTTCTTTATTTTTATACAAAAAATGAGTTAGGAAAGATATATAATTTTTCTCATAATTTACAATGTAGGAAATTTAAGTAGAAAGAAATTAAGTAACTTACCTCCAGTGCCAAACAAATTAACTTTGCAGTTTAAACCAGAACTGAAGTCTAGTAAGCACTGCAGTAAGCCACATCAAAATAATTGCCTGGTTTATTTGTCCAGGCAGTCTATATTGAGGTAAATTAAATAACTTCTCTTTAAAAGGTTTTCCCTGCATTTAAACACCTTTGGCTATGTTAATCAAATGTTTTTAGACAAAAATATTATAATAGAAACATATAAAGTATGTCATTCCTATTTCCATAAAATTATTTATTTGTTTGTTCATTTATTTTTTATTTTTAAAGATGGGATCTCACTCTGTCTCCTAGACTGGAGTGCAGTGGTAACATTATAACTCACTGAGTCTCAGATTCCTGGGCTCGAGCCCTCCTCCCATCTCAGCATCCTGAGTAGCATCGACAGACATGCTTCACCATGCTCATCTAATTCTTTTAAATTTTTGCACAGACGGGATCTCACTGTGTTGTTCAGGCTGGTCTCAAACTCACAGCTTCCCAATTGCCAGGATTATAAGCATAAGCCACAGCACCCAGCCACAAAAATTTAAAGGTAGTTTATAAATTATAAGTACTCTGGGAATGTGGACATACAGAAAAAAAATGTGAATGGAATCTATGAAAAGTACACAGAAAATACCATGTTCCAAGGTTTGGTATCCAGAGCCAAAAAAGAAAATGTGATGTGTGATACACTTTTATTTATTATTATTATTATTTTGAGACTGCGTCTTGCTATTGTCCCCCAGGCTGGAGTGCGATGATGTGATCTCAACTCACTGCAACCTCGGCCAGCTTGAAGCTATTCTCCTGCCTCAGCCTCCTGAGTATCCGGAGCTACAGGCACCTGCCACCATGTCCGCTAATTTTTGTATTTTTATTAGAGACGGGGTTTCACCATGTTGGTTAGGCTGCTCTTGAATGCCTGACCTCAGGTGATCTCCCCGCCTTGCCCTTCCAAAGTGCTGGGATTATAGGCATGAGCCACCATGCCCTGCCCACTTTCATTTTTCATTATATCAAAGTATCTACAATTATCTGCAGTATCACAGATTTCCTGGAACTAACTTCACACAGAATTTAATCACAATTTAAAAGCACAAACGAACTTCTGTTTCTATCATCTGAGCCTGCATTTCGGTGAGTGTGGAGAGTGATTGGGATAATATGTATAGGAATATACTTTTCAAATCCTTTTAAAACCTAGATTACTGAAAAAAATAGGAAGAAAATAAAAGATGTGGTGAGTCATGTGCAGCGGAGGTCTCAGAAACATTTTCTGAAACATGGATAAAGAAAAATTATATTGAGGCCTGGACAGCACACACACAGAGCTCGGAAGTGTTTGCACACTACAGTTCTAAACACATTTTCGCACTGAACGTTAAATCACCAAAGCCTTTGTAAATCACTGTGTATGCATTTCTGTGTGACAGAGGAGGGAGAAGAACAGAGGTAAATCTTTTAAAGCAGGCGATGGGGGTCAGGGGAAGGGCTTGCCTTACTAGGCGCTGACTCAGTGTACCGTTGCATGGGACAGATTGATCTTTGCAGCAAGTGGTTAGCTGACAACATCTCAGGTTACAGGCTTGACGCCTTAAAAAAAAAAAAAAAAAAAAAAAAAAAAAAAAAACAGGGGAAGGCCGGGCGCAGTGGTTCAAGCCTGTAATCCCAGCACTTTGGGAGGCCGAGGCGGGTGGATCACGAGGTCAAGAGATCGAGACCATCCTGGTCAACATGGTGAAACCCCGTTTCTACTAAAAATACAAAAATTAGCTGGGCATGGTGGCGCGTGCCTGTGATCCCAGCTACTCAGGAGGCTGAGGCGGAAGAATCACTTGAACCCGGGAGGCGGAGGTTGCGGTGAGCCGAGACTGCGCCGTTGTGCCCCAGCCTGGTGACAGAGCAAGACTCCATCTAAAAAAAAAAAAAAAAAAAAAACGGGAAGCAGAGGGACATAAAAGACACCACCCTGCTGTGCTGTAACATTTACAGGAACATGTGTCTATATATTCCCCCAGTTCCTCATGCATGAAAATTCAAAAGAAATTATAAACTTCCGCTGTGATATTTTCATTTTTGTGCATTGGCAAATCCTATCCACGTACAGCAGGGACCCATTGCCTGTTTTTTGTAAATTAAGTTTAATTTAAATACAGCCATGCCTATTTTTTTTTTTTTTTTTTTTTTTTTTTTTTTTTTTTTTTTTTTTTTTTTTTGAGACGGAGTTTCGCTCTTGTTACCCAGGCTGGAGTGCAATGGCGCGATCTCGGCTCACCGCAACCTCCGCCTCCCAGGTTCAGGCAATTCTCCTGCCTCAGCCTCCTGAGTAGCTGGGATTACAGGCACGTGCCACCATGCCCAGCTAATTTTTTGTATTTTTAGTAGAGACGGGGTTTCACCATGTTGACCAGGATGGTCTCGATCTCTTGACCTTGTGATCCACCCTCCTCGGCCTCCCAAAGTGCTGGGATTACAGGCTTGAGCCACCGCGCCCGGCCTGCCTATTTGTTTACATACCGCCTGTGACTGCCTTCCTGCTACGGTGACAGCGTTGAGTAGTTGCAACAAGTACTAGAAAGGTTGAGATGTTTACCGTCTGGTTCTTTACAGGAAAGGGTTTCCAATCCCTCCTCCAGAAGTGAAAATACATCATGTTACTGCTACCAAAGACTCTTCACGACGCAGAAGCAAAAGATCTTCAGAATTACTCGTTTTGTTAGAGTTGTTACAACCAGAACAATTTAGGGCCAATTAAAACAAAGAACCAAGGAAAAGAAGTAAATTAAGTTAAAAAAAAAAAAAAAAATCAAATTTCAAAGAACGAAAAGATGGGCTCCAAAATAGACTACTTCCCTCTGTCAACTGTCAGGCTGATTTCTCTTTTCTTCTGTTTGAGCCCAGGCAGTGACTATATTCTCAGCCATACCAATCTTTTCGTTTAATATCCACTTGTCATCAAAAAGAATTGGATGCTCATTGGCTTAATTCCCAAGAGTTTTGTTGTGTTTTTCCCTTGAAATTAATTTTTAAAGCAGGGACTTTCACACCACTTCTTAGATTGGTCATTATATCATTTAAAGATGGTGGGTTTAACAGTCATTACAGTGAGGTTCATTTGCTCTTTCCACAGGACAGTGGAAAGGGTGAACGCCCATTGAGCTTGTTTTCTGAATTTTACTCTGCTTCAGATACTGGAGAACAGAAACGATCTCAGAAACGCAGAAGTCAGAGTTTTGAGAACCTTTTGTTGATACTTTGTTTTCTTTTATTTCAAAGTTTGTTTTGTTTTGTTCAAAGAGGAGACTTTGAACAGCATTTGTAATTCTTCATTTTCTATTATTTGTACTATAAGGTGTTGAATTCTCTAAACTCTCAGGAGTGAAGGGACAGAAGGAATTCAGCTGCAAGAGTATCTGAAGAGAAGATCAAAAGAGAAATCATGCTGAGCTGACACAAATTTGCTTACTCAACTCCAACAGAGTTGTAGTACCCACCACAGCTTAGATATGAAAAGATTGAAACTCAGAGTCGTTAAGTCACTTGAACAATTTTAGTAATTCATTAATGGCATGAATAATTCATTACTCCCAATTAGCCATTTTATTTATTTATTTATTTATTTATTTTGCATCTGGACTATTAGGTACAGTGAATTCATCTGATCATTAAAATTCTACCTACCCACCTGACAAAATATGAGTTATATCTCTTCCTTTGGGTTATTAATTTAATGAACTGCTCAAACTAAATGTAGGAGTATGGGTAATGAAATAACATATGAAAATAAAGTAATTTCACGTCTTTTAGAAATATAGATCTTTCTGTAACTTCACTTTTACTTCGAGTATGTGACACCCTGTCATTGTTGTTAAGTCACTTCTGTGGATTGTGTGAAAGTGGCTGATCTGATTAATGCCTTAAGACTTCTCAGAAAATTCAAATGACATAATCTGCCTTCTATTGTGTACTTTATACCTTTTCTCTCTTATGTCTGAATTCCTGGGTTTTGTAACTCAATTTGCAGCTTTTCTGGAGATAAAAGCAGGAGAGTTTAGATTCTCTAAGATTTAATCTCTCATGAAGCAAATGCTAATACTGAATTATGTCCAAATATAGACATTCTGACATTTGAAGCATATCACATTTTAACAAAATCCTTCTCAAAAATATTCAAATACCTCTGTGCTTGTCATGGTGAGTTTTTCTTTCAGTCACAAAATATATTTAACTTTAACACAACAGTGATACCTCTACACCTTGGTGTAAGTCTTTTGCTTTTGATGTCACTAAGCCAGCATTTTGAAGCATTTCAAAAGGCTCATCCGATGGTCTTTTCATTTTAATTGTAATGAGGAAGAGATTCATGGAAGAGGGTTTGCTGAGTTCCTGCTTGAGGAAACATGTATCAAAAAGACATGAGCTGCCAACACGCTCAATGTGAACACTGGCACAATGGCTCCCGTCCTGGAAGTGGGAAGGGTGTGAGAATTCTGAGACCAGCTGCAAACTCCTGAGGCCAGATGTTGGTCCTCCCTCTCTGATTTGGCAGGGTGGGAGGTGGTTGCAAAAATCATCTGAAGGTATTTGGGCAAGAGATTATTGGCTGCTGGTCTGTGGCTGGTTTTAATCTTGGTGCCAACCTTAATGGACTGGCAGGGACTGCCTCTCTGTTTGGGTTAAGAGAGAAACTAAAGACGTACTTTGGTTTCTGGGAGTTCTTCGAAGGCTTTTCCTCCAGGAAACAGCAGCATGTGTTTCTCATTTCCTGTCTCATAATCAAAATGTTGTAAAGGCCACAGAAATCATTCCACCCTCACCTCCAGTAGCTAAATGCACTTATTTTACTATTTTATAATGAAAGTAGTTCATCATTGATGAGGCCTATTCTCATTAACCATGAATACTAATTAAACATGTTGATCATAAATAATCAATTTTCTGGAAGGGAAAAAAATGACTTTCTTTATTTCTTAATGATTAAAAAAAAAAAGAAAGAAAGAAATCAGGATTTACAGATCATCGTTAAGAACACCAGTCCTCATTTAACCATAATGTGAGGATACTGGTTTATTCAGAATCAGTAAGAGATTGATAGAACGTAGGAGAAGCTAACATTTTTCTGAATTATTATTTTAAAGTTTTAATGTTTTATTTAGTCTTAAATGAATAAATTTTGAGACATCAAAGATTGAACAATTTAATTAAAATTAAACTATTTGCTCCATTTTACTTCAAAATTATAGGAATAAATCAATATTTGTTTGTTTCTTTACTGCTTATCTGGATGATAAGAAACACACAAGTCAATTAGAAAAGATTTCACTAATAGGTGATTGCTTTATCCACAGTTTCTCCCTCAGTATCACACACACACACACCTATACCATGCACACACACTCATACACACACATTTTTATCACAGTTTTAGTTTGTCTTCAATAAGAGTTCTTTCCCTGCTGTAGTAAAACATGTAAAATATCAAATAATTTCTTTAAAAATAAGCAAGTGAAAATCCTGTGCATAATAAAACTGTGCACTTTTTAAAGTGATTAAAATGTTTTATGTGGCGATGCCGTGAAATTGAGCAAGAATTTTTGATGAGTAGATCTCATAAACCAGATCTGCCCATTCCTCAAAAACCGTGCTTCAATGCCTTCATATAAAGATCAATAAACAGGTACTTGATACAGTCATACTTCGCTCATCTAAAGGAGAAAAAGTATGTAACGTCAATGATTCCAATCTCAGTTAAGACTGACTCAGAAGCAGTTCAGAAAGGGCTGCTAAAGCCTGAAACAGCATCACTAAAGCCCCTGCCAATCACTCTTAGCTTCAATCAATGTCTTATGTATCTTTATGGACCAAATGTCCAAAGAAATATAATGATGAAGTGGGTGTTCTGTAAGCCTGTGCTGTCTGATACGGTAGTCGCTAGCCACATGTGGTTACTGAACACTTGAAATGTAGCTAGTGCAACTGAGAAACCAAATTTGAAATCTTGTTTCATTTAAATAGCCACACGAGGCCAGTAGCTACTATTTCTTTTAGTGCAGGTAAGCCTACCGCTCGCATCAAGTTACAACTAACAGTTTGACATAGTGAATTTGAATAAAAACCATACAAAGCAAACGCAAGAGTTAAGAAGCACAGTAGTTCAGGGTTATGTGTGCAGGGAAATTAGATGCAATCCCTATGGTCTATGAAGACGTTACAGAGCATGAAACCAGAAGTGGTCATTTTTAACAATAATTTTCAAAGTTAAGAAATCGGAATTTCATGTCTCACTTTGATCACAATTCTTTCAGGCCCAGAAAATACATCTAAGTGTCCCCAAATTCAATAACATGTAAAAGACAACTTTTCTTACCTGCCATCACTCCATAGGTTGACGGTTGGTTTCCATAATGACAGGAAGGAACAGAATAATGAAGTCCCGTTGCTGTGTTTCCCAACGTTGTCACCGAGAAATGTGTGCACAAACATTCAGGAGTTTGGATCAAAGACAAAATAGATGGGACTGGTAAGAAAATGTATGAGGATTCAACACACATTCGTTTTATCTCAAAAGTACACATTTATGTGGTTCTTAAAGTTATATGCCAATGATTTTTTTTTTCTCATTTGGGGGAAGTTCTCTGATGAGCAGGTTAAAATGGGGGTGGGGGGATCAGTTTGTCTCATGTAACAAGATAAGTCATCAAAATGGACTTCATTAATTATCCTGTGCTCTGTGTGCTATGGCTACCAGGGCTCCACGAAGCGGGTGCTGACCAATTTGGACCTTGGCTCTTTGGGATTTGCAGAATTCTTGTGGGTTCTGTTCAATGCAGACATTGCAACTCCTTGACTAGAAGAATAGTCTCTTAAAATTCTTGTGTCTCATGGTATTATAAAGCAGTCTGTATGAATGAATACAGAAATTAACTCTTGAACAATGTATTTTTGCTTATTTCTCTAACAAATTTGTTTCATCAAAGTGGAAATGGCAGAGCAACTAGCCTTTTAGATATAGTCTTAAAAATCTCACCACATTCAGAGTGCTATTAAAAACTTGTGACAATATATGATCTATTTACTTTGATGTTGAAATCATGAGATTGTAAGTTTTCTCTATATGCACAATTGATACAACCATTCTAATGATAAAGCCAGTCAAAAAATAAGTTCATTGATTGAGTGACTTAACATCCATAAAGCCGTATATAAACGTAACTGTTTATAACTAGTTATATGCGTCCTGGAATCAATGTGTATTTTCGAAGTAAATTGGAATTATTAGATTTTTATCAAGTTTTAAACAAAAATCATCAAGTTGACAGGAAGCATAAAATATTGACAATAAAACCACTGGTCAATATTTCCTTATGTATTTTATTTTCTCAATTTCTTCTTTTATATTTTGAATATATTGGTCAATTTTCATAAATATAACTATCTTCTTGAATAAATGAGAGGTTATAAAGTACTTAGACTCCTTTGAGAATACTGATATACAATCTAGTAATTAAACTCATGCCTTCTTTTCATAAAGTAAACTACATTATTTTAAAATAGAGAATATCTTTAATTTTAAAATATCTCTATATATTTTATTGTATAACTAATAAGTCAAAAGAACTAAAGTTATTTTGCAATATAATGATTACATATAAAAGTCTTACTGTGCATTCTAAAATTAAACAAATTATCATTAAACACATTTAACACTCAAGGGTTCTCATTAAAGCCAGTATTTCTATTATAGTTTCTTAGACATTTTTTATAAATGATTATAGTTTCATTAAAATATTATAAATCAATGCTATTATCATTTAAAACATTTGTAGGTCACTTTTATTAATAATAATTTTTAAGGCTTAAATAATTTTTGCTTTTCAGATTTTAGGAAGTTAAATACAGGAAAGGCTAATTTACTAAATACATTGTTACTTATTTTTAAATAATTAATTGGCATTTTGAGCATAAAATTAGATTTTACTAGATTATTACCTCAATTCTGAATTTTATTTTCATGCTAGCCAAATTATCTTCAAACACAGAAATAATCTATTATTCTCATTATTCTCAATCTATAGAATGACATACTATTTAAAATATGTGATTAGCTATGTGGTAATTTCTTAGATTTATTTATAGCATGTATTTTTGATAAAAGCCCTTTATTGTCTTTTGCAAAAATTATGTTGGAGGATACTTCCAGTATTACCTTTTAAATTAAATTACGAGAATCTGGTGGATTTGGACCAATCTGGTGGATTCCCATAATTTAATTTAAAAGATAATACTGAAAAATCTCTACATTAAATGATTTTACCAAAGTCCAAATATCTGTTCTCTAGAGTCTTTAAAATTCAGCAGAAGATTGATGCCAAACTTACACATATATTTAGAAAGAGCTTAATTATAATAAAAGATAGAGCTTAAATCCTTCAAATCAGAATATAAAAGTATCAACTCAAATTTGATTTATAAATGTACATAATTTTATCATATTCCTAAATGTGAGACAGATTGCATTTGAAACAAATGGAAAGTTTGTTTCACTTAAGACAAATTAAATTGGAGGGGTAAAATGAAAGAAGCAAAGAGACGATTAACTATCAAGATTCAAAGCATTCAGCAATTATATTGTTGTTTAATGGAAAAAATTTATTCAATTCAAGTCTTTGTCTATTTGTAAATCAACTTTAAAACACTTTGTGACTGCATAAAGAATGAACACACTGGCAAAACATACGTATATGGCTGATTGTGTTGAGACAATAATTCTCAAGTTTAATTTTTGAATTTTTGGATTCTAAAGTTTATTTTTTATTTTTAAAGTTATGTGACTTGGTTACATAACTTTTTAAAAAGTTAAAACTTTTGAAAAGTCACCTAACTTTTTAAAAAATTAAAACCAATGTTAAAACTTGTTTAGAAATGAAGCAGCCTCTTCAGAACGCAATCGAGAAAATTTACGTTAATTAATGGACCCTAAATGCCATGTTATTTCTGGCTACAATTTCTGTGTCTCATACTAAAAATATGTTTATTAAAACTCAATTATTTTATTCCGTGAAATCCATTGTTGTTGATATTCTGATTATTCTGTTGTGTTTAAGGTTTATATCTGTCTCAGAAGTAGTAAATGTATTCTAACAGCCAAATAAATCCTTAAGATAAAGAAATAACACCTTTTAAATATTACGTTATTTTATAATATTCATTTCATTTGCTTCTTATTCTATAAATATTTCAATTAAAATGGTTTTCAGATTTGAAATGTCCAAGTTCACTTTTCTTATGTGGAAAACAGATTTTCTTTATTATCACAAATCCAGCAACGATTTAAATTACTATACTTGATAATATTTCTTTAAAAAATTCTTCGTCGTGTTGGCTTTTTAGATATGCTTACTATTTCCCTTAAGACAAATTAAACTGGAGGGGTCAAATGAAAGAAGCAAAGAGATTATTAACTATCAAGATTCAAAGCGTTCATTCTGCAATCTTTAGGCCCGGCCATATGTAAACTGTCAAAGCAGTCAGTACCTGTAGGCATCACATTGGTGGCATGGTTGGAGACTGGTAGGCACTCGGCAGCGCTGTGATGCATTATCAGAGGCAGAGTTGCAGAGGCGTCAGAATTCAGAGGTATAAAGGTATCAGCCGAAGTAAAAGATTGGCAACTCATTCCCACAGGAGAGTAGAAAAATAAGGAGAACAGCTGCTCCCCAAATCAGAGTTTTATTATATTACTGTCTCAAAAGGCCGATTCAATTCTCACTACCTGCATATATACATCAGGAAGGCTCTGAGGCACCAGGAGGGTGCGTGCTAGTATTTATATTGCAAGGAAATCCCTTTATACATGTTAATGGTTTTTTCCCAGGAGTATTGCTTTATCAATCTGAACTGTCTTCCTTTTTCACCCAAACATAATCCATGGCAGAGAAGGGAGCTGATTCTGGGGTATAGATGAAGGGGGAAGGGAGCAATCTGAAACCGTATTTGACAACTTCAGTAGTTTAGATCTTTTAGAAGGGAATCAACAACTTTGAAAATGTGTACCTCAGGAAAAAAAAAATAATGCCACAATGAATTGAAAAATAGTAGGTGTCTTTTTGCTACTAACAAAGTTGCAAATATATAAATATGAGATATTTTTTCTTTTTTAACAACTTCTCAATAAATCTGTAAAACAACATGAAACAAAAGACATGTATGCTATTATACATAATTTTAAGTAACTGAATATTTAAGATTATATTGAGAAGCATATAACACTAAATATGAGAAAACGTTGTCAATTGCTGATTTATACTCAACAATGCACAGCTTTTAAAAACTATGACAATTGATACAAGTTTTACTATATTATAAATGGGAAAAATTGGATAAAATATAGTAGCGTTAAGTTGGTGCAAAAGTGATTTCGGTTCTTAGAACCGAAATCACTTTTGCACCAAACTCGAATACAAGTAAGATATGGATGATCATATCTTTACCTCGATTTCAATTTGCTCTTTAAGAACCCAACACTTGGTAAGCTGTTACTAGATGCTGACAATATTCTCAGTATTTATACAGTTATGCCATGCAAATCTCACATCTATGTGAGCTAACGTACCTTGCCAACATCACTAAACCAGACCCTGCCAGAGGCTGAAATCTTGGTGGTTCTGCCGCAAACGCTGAGGTAACCATGGTAGCTGCTAACTAGATGCAAATTTCTCACATGAAACATATTCACTTTATATGAGAAGGAAAAAATATCACGCTGCAAACAACTATTTCAAACACAAATATCAGCATCAAAATTTTACAATGATCATGATTTATGTATGTAATGAGTAGACAAAATACTATTTATGTAATATATACTAAAGTAATATGACGAATAGAAGTAACCAAATAGGAATAGATACTATTGACGTGAGTAGATACTTATTTTGTGCTATGGAACGTTTCAAGGTAACTTGGAATTGGTTGCTCTGTGTCAAATCTTTGTCAATAAGTGGCTGGTATTTTGGAGGAAAATATGTAAAAGCTTGCCCAAATCATTAGATATGGAGTGAACATATTTATTCTAAAAGTGACAAAGTTTTTCATTCTGAATTCTGTATCTTTGAAGCTCTATTAATGTTCTATAATGAGATGAAGTTTCGAGTAATCAAAAACATTGTTATACTCTTGCAGAATACTGATAATTTTCAGACTTTATATATACAAAAAGTGGTTTTTCAGTATGTCTATAAGGAGCTTCTGTTAAGAAAATTAAATAAAACTGTTTATTGGGTATTATATATGTTAAAAATTAAGCTAAATGATATTTATAGAAAATAGAATTTGAAAATTTCTCTTAATAATTTTACTACTGTTACATAGAGTCATTGGAATACGTTGGCAAAGTATCTGAAAAATATACTTCATGAAGTATACTGAAGATACTTTATGAAGTACCATAAATCCTGCCTAGCAAACAATACAAAATTTTCCGAGTAATTTACCATGCTATCTAAAAATTTTTAAACTTCAATCTTAGACAGAATTTCTTCCTTAATGATTTTTAAAAATTAAATATCTGTTCTGTTAAAATGAGGTAAAGCCAGGAAATAAATGTTTCTATTATAGTCTTCTGCTATATAACATATCCATAGGATTATTTTGAATGTACCCCTTTAAGACAGATTCTTAAAAGTGGAATCACTAAGCTTAAGTCTTACAAACTTTTAACATCTTGAAAACATTACCAACTTGCATTTTCAAATAGTTAATTATATTATGATTTTGATGTAAAATATCAGGAATACGTCGAGCAAAAAGAACTGTTTCTTATAAGGAGAAATAGGAGTTTCTTGGCACCCACAGAAAAGAAGCAAGTCAGCTCATAGAGACTGAATAGAAAACGAGGCACACTTCTCTGACTCTGTCACCTCAAAAATCTCAGGCCTTAAACTTTCAAGGAGGCAAAGAGACTATCTTGTAGCTTCTCAGTCGACATTCTCTCTCTCTCTCTCTCTCTCTCTCTCTCTCTCTCTCTCTCTCTCGCTTTCTTTCTTTCTCTTTCTTCCTCCCTCCCTCCCTCCCTCCCTCCTTTCTTTCTTTCTTTCTTTCTTTCTTTCTTTTTTTTTTTAAATAGAGATGGGGTTTCTTCATGTTGGCCAGGCTTGTCTCGAACTCCCGACTTCAGATGATCCACCCTCCTTGGCCTCCCAAAATGCTGGGATTACAGGCATGAGCCACAACAATCAGCCTCTTTCTTTCTTTTCTTTTCTTTCTTTCTTTCGTTCTTTGTTTCTTTCTTTGCTTCTTTCTTTCTTTCTTATTCTTTCTTTCTTTCTTTCTTTCTCTTTCTTTCTTTCTTGACAGAGTCTCACTCTGTCACCCAGGCTGGGGCAATGGCGTGATCTTGGCTCACTGCAACCTCCGTCTCCTGAGTTCAACAGAGTCTTCTGACTTAGCCTCCCAAGTAGCTAGAATTACTGGTGCCTGCCATCACACCTGGGTAAATTTTGTATTTTTCATAGAGACAGAGTTTCATCATGTTGGCCAGGCTGGTCTTGAAGTTCTGACCTCAAATGATCCACCCACCTTGGACTCCCAACGTGCTGGGATTACAGGTGTGAGCCACTGATCCAGGCCATGGGAAATATTCTTATTGGCTATGACTTTTTGGTGAGTTCCAGAAGTACAAACAAGGCCCCCAGTGACCCACACTTATGAATGGGTGGGATTGTTCTGCATACATTCAGTTGTTTATAGACAGGGAGAGATAGAGTAATTGTCTTGGAAGACACCCTTAAAATCTGACTGATGCTTTTGTACATATTACCTTTCACTAGCCTTGGTGGTGTAAATGCTAGACAATTGTCTAGCATTCTCACTGTTAGTAACAAAAGTATCAATACACGTTTTATTAATCTGATAGGATGATAATATTTTAATCTGCAGTTTAATTGCTAATATGCTCTGTTTTCGTGTTTACATTTGCTATCTGCATTTATTATTTTGTTGATTAACAGATTCTATATTTTATCTTTTTATTTAAAGGCCATTCAGTTTTATTATCCATTCATGTCTCTGACAAATGCACTAAGAATTTTAATTTTTATTGCTTTTATAATTTTCTGATTAAAATTTTCTTAATTTCTCATCTTTTAAATTGATGCTAGACCTGGGTGTACATAGTATTTAATATAAGAGTTAAACATATGGCTCATTTTGGCATGCATTTTTAATGACTTAAGACTTTAAAATTCTAACTTATCTAAAGGCTTATTTACCTACTTTTGTTTTTGTTTTATTTTGGCACGTTAAGGAATTTTTTATTGCCATTTTAAGCTGCAATATTCAGTATGTTTCTAGAGCTCATTTATAATCACTTAGATAATAATGAAAATTGTTGCACAATTTGAAAACTTCCAGATAAATAAGAAGAAAATTCTACTTCAAACTAAGATGATAAAAGAGAATCTGCAGAACAGAAGTCTTCATCAGGTGTTATTTGTTAGCCTGATTCATTCACTGTATTTCCCTTTAAATCAAGCAAAACATTGATTTTTTAAAATACTTTTGGGTTTCAAAAAAATCACATTTTGAGAAATATATGTATATCTATAACTCCAGAAAAAAATCCTATATCATTCTACTATAAATACACATGCACAAATATGTTTATTGCAGTACTATTCACACTTGGAACCAACCCAAATGCTCATCAGTGATAGACTGGATAAAGAAAATGTGGCACATATACACCATGGAATACTATGTAGCCATAGAAAAGATGAGTTTATGTCTTTTGCCAGGACATGGATGAAGCTGATAGTTTCTTGGGAAACTACCACAGGAACAGAAAACCAAACACCACATGTTCTCACTCATAAGTGGGAGTTGAACAATGAGAACACATAGACACAAGGAAGGGAACATCACACATCAGGGGCTGCCAGGGGGTGGGGTGCTGGGGGAGGAATAGCATTAGGAGAAATACCTAATGTAGATGATGGGTTGATGGATGCAACAAACCACCATGGCATGTGTATACCTATGTGACAAACCTGCACGTTCTGCAAATGTATCCCAGAACTTAAAGTATAATTAAAGAAAAAGAAAAATATATAATCCCAGAAAAAAATACTATTAATAAATACTATTCAAATCTAATTATCTCTGGTTTATATAGAGAGAATTAAATCCTCTTTTTATTTTTTATATTTATGTTTTCTCATTTTTTTCCTACTTATTTTTGTGAGTTCAGAAGCATTGTATATTCAGAATGGAGATAGATTCTGTAATTAAACTCTCTGGATATAAACCCAAGGTTTATACCTAAGTGGCTATATAATGATGGACAAGTGATTTTACCTTTAGTGTTTTGGGTTATTTTATCTGTAATACGGAGATAATAGTAATAGTCAAGCCACTTGCAACAATGCCTGGCATGTAATAAACTTTCAATAAATGTTAGCAATTACTATTGCAAAGCTCTTAACCATTGTTTATATTTAGTCTATGTGTTTTATATGTATTATCTCATTTTATTTTCACATTAATCTGCTGAGGTATGCACTAGTTTATAGACTGCGAAACGGAGACACAGATTAAATTCTTACCAAAGATCATTCAGTAAGTGGTGAAGCTGGAATAGTAATCTAAGCCATCAAGCTGCATAATACTGTCCTTTATTGTATAAGGAAAATCTTTACAGACACTGAGATTTGTCTAAGTCAGTTCTGTATTTCTTCTATGTATCTTCATATGTAGACTTTTTGTTTGTCACATAGCTTCAACGAGAAAACATGGAAAGAAAG